GGAATTTCGACTTTCTGAAATATTGAGAAGTCCTTAGGTCTCATGTCAGATTTACAAGTGACCTTACGAGCAGATGTGGTTTCCCTGCTATGTGATATTTCTCAACAAGACACAAGCCCTTTACACAGAGTTAAATTTGGAGAATCCGCTAATTGAGGGTAACACATTCAAACCGTCAATTTCTATTAATTGCTTATACTCATCCAAGATTGAGACATCATGAAAAATATTTATTGAGACACCGTGCCTGGCTCACATCATATTTAATAAACATCAACTGTGTGCAACTCCTGGGGACCCGGATTGAACAGGCCCGGCATGGCCTGATGCCTGTGCTCCAGCAGCTCACAGAATTCAAGTGCCCTCGAGACTCTTTTCTGCCCCGATCACTTTTGGCTCTAGTTTTCCCTGGTTTGGGTAAACTTATTCTCTTCCCCTTTCTGAATCCATTTTCTTTTTTACTGTTCACTCCGCCCATCATCCTTCTTCTACTCCTTATTTAATTTCCCCCTTTTACCAGCCTATATTCCTCGGTTTTAAAATTCTGCTGGAACTGCTCCTCCTTCAGGAAGCCCTCCTGGCTCAGCTAGTTGTGCGCTCCTCCAGCTGCATGGGGCTAAGGCTATGTCATCCCACAGGCATCTCAAAGTTAGCGTGAGCAGACATAACCCATCCTATTGCCCTTGTCTGGCCCCATGGGCCTCGTCTTCCTCCAGTGTCCTCTGGGCAAATGGCGCTGCTAGTGTCCACCCTGGAGCCCAAACCAGGAGCCTGGGGGGCACCTGAGACTCCTCTGCTGTCCCCAACCCCAGGCTCAGTGGTCAGGCAACTGTTTTCATTCAGGTCCTCTTTCTTCCTTATCTCAGTTACCATCTGTCCTCAGTGAGTCCCCTGAGAAGAAGACCCTAAAACAAGGATTTTGGTGCAGGTATTTTATTTGAGAGGTGATCCCGGGAAGTGCTGGGAGGAGGTAGGGAAGCAAGATAAGGGAAGGGAGGAGACAATAAAAAGTGTGCAAGTGGATGCATCACTCCTGAGGACCCCTGGGGGGTAATCCACTTGGACCCCCCCCTTTCCTGAGCTATTTTTAGGGAACATGCCTCAGAATTATCTTCCTGAGACATGAAGAAGCTGGGGTATTGATCTACTGACTTGAGCCCTCTTGTGGGGTCAGAGCCCATTCTGGACGGAGACACACAGGAAGCCATCAGCACGTGTGGGGACAGTCTGGGGAGATCTTCAGGGAGGGGGCGTTCCCACGGTGGTGACTCCACCTTCAGCATCTTCCTCACTGGTTGTCTTGCTCCATCCAGTCTTGCCCCCCCACCCCCAACTTCTTCCTAAGCAATCCTTCTAGAATGCCTAATAGATCACGTTATTCACCTGCTTTAAACCATCATGGCTTCCCATTGCTTTCAGAAAAATCCAAATGTCCTGGCTTGAGCTAAGGCTTGGCACCGTCTCACCCCCGACCACTCTTCCAGCCTCATGCCCCTGCACCGGATCCAGGCTCCAGGGACACTACACTGGCTGTGGGTTCTCTCTCCAGCCTCCCTCAAGGGGCCCTTGCCCCTAACACTTGCTCATAAATATTCAACAGATAATTATTTGGTGATCTACATGCCAGGCACTGTGCTAGATCAATGAAGGAGGCAACCACAGTTCTTGTCTTCCAGGAGCTCCCTCTCTAAAGGGGAGGAGATCGGCATACATAACGGAATACTGACCTTCCAACTCAGGCATTATGTTAGAGAAGGGCTCTTGGAGAAAATTATGCCCAGGTGGAGACTTGATGGATATAAGGGGTTCACCTTACAGAGAGAAGTAACTCGGTGCGTGCAGAGAAACTGCTGATTTCTGAACGGGGATGGTGAGGTGTCGGACGGGAAGAGGTGAACGCGAGGCTGGCCAGGTGGTCTGGATCCCCTGCCTCCTAGGGGGCTCAGGCTTTATTCTGCAGATCAAGATACAGTAAAAGGGCCCCCTTTTTCATCCTCAGGCTTTCTAGAATCTAGGGGCATCCAACTCATTTTCACGGGGGTCTACATCAGCCTCACGATTGCCTTCAAAGGGCCGAATGTCATTTTAGGGCTGTATAAAGGTAACTACTCCTTAACAGTTAAGCGCTGCCGCCAGGTAGAAACAAGGTGGAGGGCTGGATTCGGCCCGTGGGCCTTGTGTGTGCCACCTGTGTTCCAGATCCACTGTGGATTGCCTCCTCCAAGCACCGTCTCACTCCCTAAATTCTCTTCCTTAGATGTATCACCTGTGCTCTTCTAGTACCATGGGAAACCCTTCTTTTGGTGGCCATTAGGGTGGCTTGTGGTTTAAGGTGTATCTCGCCCTAAAGGTACCAGCCACTTTGAAGGAAGAGCTGCTTTTCCTCACCTGGATGTCCCGGTGCCTAGTACACGGTGAGTCCCTTCAGCCCAGACACACCTGAGTGCTTTGAAGAGGGCCCGAAGGAGTGGGAGGACGGGCAGGTGTTGCTCCTCAGAAGTCACCGCCAAGACTACGGGCAAACAGAAGAGCTCATGTGCGTGGTCTGCGTCACATTGTGCGCCGGAAGTTCCTGAAGACGCCGGAGTCCAGGTACGTTTTGAAGACCTGAACACCGGCTGTGATGATTTCCTAAAACTGGCGACTTTAATTACAAGTAAGAGTGACTATATTTTGCTAATGGATTTTGCTGTGCTCTAAAATTCTTAAACTCACCCTTCCTTCCTTCTTACCACTCCCTGCAATTCTTCAACAACTGCTTTGATGTCCAGGGGGTGCTGGGGAGAGAGGTGCTTCCTTAGGTGAAGCAAACACTGTTCATTTCTGCTTTGGCCAGACTGACAGCCAAGTTCTCCGTCTGGCTCTCTGGAGTGACCAATAGCATTTGAATAGGTAGGAGGTGGTCAGTGTGAGCTGAGTCTTCTGTGCCCCAAGTGAGTTAGCTTTTGCAAGGGTGGGGAATGGGGTGGAGCCAAGAGAGAGTGAAAACATCTTCTGGAACAGCCTGTTCTCCTTCCGGGGAGAAGGACAGGTGGGAATGAAGGAGCCATTGCTCATAGTCCCTTGACCTCAGATTATTGTCTTTGAAGGGTAACTTTTATATTCCTGGAGCAGAGAAGTCAAATCTGTCTGGGTTTGCAGCTCCTGGCAGGTTAAAAAGCATGTATTTCCACATGACTTGCCTAGTGACACCAAATTTATTGTGTTCCACCCCCCCCCCGCCCGGCTGTCCTTGTGCCTGGCTCCTCTGACACAGACATTGTGGGGGCTCTCAGTGGCACTCCAGATTTGTTTTCCAGTGTCTGGTGTTTATGCGCCACTTTTGAGTTGGGTTTTCCCCAGGCCATTGCCTGCTCCTTGAGGGAGGAAGCCTGCGAGTCTCCAGCTTCCTTTGTAACTTCCCAGTTCCTCTGCCCACAGCCTCTTGGACTCTGTGCACCCACCCCAGTCACTTTGTTTTCAAGTGCTATGGGACTGAATTTTTCTTTTTCTTTTTTTTTAAATATTTTTATTTATTTTTAGAGAGGGAAGGGAGGGAGCGTGCGCGAGAGAGAGAGAGAGAGAGAGAGAGAGAGAGAGAGAAACATCAATGTGCGGTTGCTGGGGATCATGGCCTGCAACCCAGCCATGTACCCTGACTGGGAATCGAACCTGCGACACTTTGGTTCGCAGCCCGTGCTCAATCCACTGAGCTACACCAGCCAGGGCTTGAATTTCTTTTCTTCATGGGAAAAGAAGCATTTGGCCGTGTGTCCGTTGCATAAGAGGTACAGATGTAGGCAGTGTGGCCTTCGAAAGGCTGCGGAGCTGAGCACCCTTCTGGACTAAAGGGCGGACAATGGCTCCTCTCCTAATGACCTTCCTCCACAAAAGGCATGACCCCACCAATCGGAACAGCTGTCCCAAGCACGTCTGCTTTGCACCTCTCTCAGAAAAGGCGGTTGGTATGCTGAGCAGTTGGTAGTTTGAGTCCCCAGTGTCAGCCCCCCCATCAGCCCCCTTAACCTCGGTGACCTCAGAAGGTCACTTGAGCGCTCTGCTTCCCTTTCCTCTTCTATAAAATGGGAATAGAAACTGAATCCAGTTCATGGCGATGTTGTAAGAAATAATGAGCTATGTTTGGCACATAGTATACCGCTCAAGGCACACTGGCTATGCCTATTAGTAATTAACTGTTACTAATACAAAAGATTAAGAGGTTGTGTCTCTTCCACGACTTGGTGAGTGTGGCCGACGGGTCCCAAAGCGGTCGCCGGCCTTCCAGCAGCCTTCAAGCCCCACTCTCTCCGGGCCGGGTCCCAGCTGCCTAACGAGGGGCCCGGGTACCGTCGTGATTGCTCAACGAGGTTGACCTGGAGGCGGCCAAAGCGCGAGCACAGGTGCGGCCATGACCGCAAAGAGGGCGTGGGCTCGGGTGTGGCGAGGCGAGGTCGGGAGAGGCCGAGTGTGGCGAGAGCGGGGTGGGGATCGGGGGGCTGGCCCCAGCCCCGGCCCCGCAGGGGACACCCAGGGTGCTTCGAAGGACGCTGTCTTGCACGGGACTCCTAGACCCCGCGGAACTCTCGCACCCAAGCCGCGGCCCCGCCCCCCGGCGCCCCGGGTTGGCTGCCGCCCGCGGGCAGGCGCGGCCATTTGCCACGCGCAGCGTCACTGGAGCCGCTCCGCCCGGCCCCTGCGGGCTGGTCAGGGGGGCGGGGGGGCCGAGGTCCTAGACGCCAGCGGGACGCCACCGGGCCGCCCCGCCCTGGGAGACGCCCAGCCCTCATCAAGTGACCACTATCCCTCCCTGGCGAACACGCCTTCACAGGAAAGCAAGGTCCATCCCGCAGCCCGGCGCCAAACCGCCGTCATCTCCCTTCCTGTGCTGGCTGATCTGTCTCCTCACCCACCCGGAAAAACATAGTCCGCCCCTCTTGTCCTTGCGGAGTAGCTCTGGCTTCCAATCAGTGTGACTGTTTTAGTCCGCACCTTTGTCTTTCCCATTTCTAGACTCTAGGGTCCACCGAGGGGGTAAAGCAGCTTCTAAAGGAAACCTTCTGTGATAAGCACGACAGGGATCCGGGAGAAAGGAGCGAGAAGGCGAGGCTGGCGGAGGGACACTGAGGCTCTTTCGCCGAGTGCGCATGCGCGCGTGCAGGAACGAGTTCCGGTCTGGCCCGGGCCTGTCTCCTAAAAATAGCCCCGGTGTGGGGATCCGTGCGCGGATGTCCCGGCGAGTCCCGGGCTGAAGGAGGCGTCTCCGGGCGACGCAGAGCGCTGGTGGCGGGTCCTGGCTGCAGCGTGTGTACGCCCGCCAGCTGCTCCGGAGACACGGTGAGGGCCGTGAACGGTGGGGCTGGGTCCTCGGGGCTGGTGGTGTCAGGTCAGCGTTTCGACCGGGGGCCAGGCTAGGGCTGAGGGGCGCTGGGGCGGGATGCGGTGTGACCGAGGAGGGGAGCCTGCCGGCCCCAGGGACACCAGGACAGGGCGGCGTCCGGCTGGCAGGAGGCCGGATCGCGGGCTCGGGGCACTGGGACGGGCGGGGTGCCGGGTAGGCGACCAGAGATGGTCGAGAGGGGTCGGCACCGAGGGGCGAGGCGCCTGGGGAGGTGGGGGCGGGGTGCCCCGAGGGTTGGCCCGGGGACCGAGGGGGTGCCGCGGGGGGACTGGGCAGCGCGGACTCCGCTGGTCGAACCTGCCGGAGCACGCACGACGTTTGGGGCTGGGGGGCGAGGGTAGACGTCACCTTCTTGAAAGTTGAAGGAGTTCCCTGGGGGCCCGGAGCCTCTCCGGGGCGGAACGCCCGAGCGCCCGTTCCTTCCTTGTTGGCCCCGAGGCCGGGGTCCCCCCTCAGGGGTGGACACCCCAGTGTGGGGGGCGTTCTGCGCTGTGGTGGGACTTGAAGAAGTTCCCCCACTTCTGCTTTGGGAGGAGGTTAGTCTAACGGGGCGGAACATTGAGGTCCGCACTCTCCCTGAGTGTGGATGTCAATGGCGGGGTCGGTATTCGGGGGCGGCGGAGGCGGCCCGGGCCGGGGGCACCTGCGGGCGCCGACGGCGGACCCTGCGGGAGGGAAACGTCTCGGGGAAGGAGGGCTCCCGGAGGGCGCCGCGCGCCGCCCAGGGCGTCCGAGGATCGGCAGGCAGATCTCGGCTCGCGGGGACGGGTTGGCGTGATAGAAACTTTGCCTTTGAGTTCGATTGTCCTCGGCCGCGGAACAGTGAGAATTCGGGCGGTAGGTGACAGCGTGCAGACAACTTCGGGGGAAGGTGAGCGTCTCTGAGCGAGTCGGGGAAACGGCTCTCCCCGTGGGAAGTGCGGACTGGGAGCGCGAGGGCTGAGATGGGGAGCGAGCCCGCTTCGTCCGGCCGGCGGGGAACCGGGTGTAGCGCGAAGGGACCTGCGTGTGAGTTTTCCGCGGGGCTGGGATTCCGGGAATGGCGTTACCAGACAGGCCTGCTGCGACGTGTGGACGACAGGCGGTGTGTGTGCGTGTGCCTTAAAACAAATCTTGTCTGATTTTTCGTGTTTCTTTTTTTTTTTTTTCTAAAGCGCGGTGTGTTTCCTTTGTGTCTCGTATCACGTATTACGCTACGAAGAGGTTTTCTGAAGCTGTAATTAGGTGCACATTACACACGCACGAGTACTTTCCCTTTAAGAATCCAGCTGTGTTGTTTTGACAATGCCGAGTACTCCAGTTGTCAGTTTTAAAATCTGTTACCTTGGCAGTACTTGAACAGTCACTCGGTGGAAGAAGTAAACAAAATAACTTTAATATTTTTTTTGAAAGGAGAAAATAACTATTGTGCTGCTGTAGCTTTTGTATGTCCATTTTTTGGTTTGGGTTTTTTGGGTTGGGGTGTGTGTGTGTGTGTGTGTGTGTGTGTGTTTTGGTGGGTATATTTTTGGAGGGCTTAGTCCACTCATTTCTTTAACTGTATGGTCACTTTTGTTGTAGGAAGAAGTAAAAGACGTTTTCACGAAAGTGGATGCCACATTTATTTAGACTTTAGCACGGGTAGTGATCGCAGGTTATAAAATATTAAGATTAGTTTGTTCTATGTGGCGATGCCCTCGGTGATTCTGGAGTCACTTTGAGATCTAAGTGAGCCTACTGTAAAAAGTTGTGATAATGGTGTTAAAATGATTAAAGTATTCTGAAGAGCTAAAACTGGGATTTAAATACTTTCTAGACTGGGTCTTGAGATGAACAATATGCCAGATTGCTTCCAAAAGAAGCTTAATTGTTAAAGTAGTCAATGTCTTGAATAGTGCCCACCTGAAACAAATTTGCTGATCTCATGCAATTCACATGTGTTTAAAACTAGGGTTTTTTTCCACATTGGAACAAATGTGATGAAATTATATTGAACTCAAATTACTTTCCAGGGGAAGTTTTTAAAAAAATGAATTGTTAAGGGATGTGAGTGAGGGGTGGGGGTTGTTCAGTGGAAAGCAAAGAGCTCATTGGGGCTCAGAAATAATCAGTGTCACCGGGTTGAATTACTGTTGGAGAATAATCTCTCTCCATATTCTTAGAGTTATGTTTCCTTAATAGGCATGTGTGACAAAGGTTGTTTTCGGTAAATGCAGTAGGAAATGCTCTTTTGAAGGTGTTGAGTGTTGTGGTGGTTTATTTTTCAAAACAATTGTAGTATAGCTTTGTATTTTCCATTTAGAATGCCATGCAGGTTAACATTAATTTTATTAATATTCAAGCAATAGCAACATTACTTCTTTGGTTACCAAGAGAGAAATACTGACGTGTATTCTGAGGGTGGTTAAGTAATTATGGAAATGTCTAATAGAACTTGATTTTAAAGTTTGAACTATTTCACTTACATCTTTGATAGATTTGTATTCTGATTGACAAGGAGGCAGCTGGAAACAAATTTGTTATTGGGAAGTAGCATGCTGTCGCTTAGGTTTTGGAAAGCCTTTTTTCCCCTCCCTTTGCTGCTTTTAATCTCACAAGAGGACATACAGTGATGATGGTTCTCCATTGTCTGTGAGCATTTATTCTGCCTGGTAGTCGGACCATACCCCCATCTGTTTTTCTGCAGGATATACTCATGGTACCTATGACTGTTACAAAGTCTAGCTGAGGTTTTTTTAATCAGTGATGTGGCAGTGCAAATACTGCTCCATGGGTTGAAAATGATCAGTATTGCTTTTTTTCTAGATTAGAAAGAGAATCTGTGAACATTCTTAGTAGATGGAGAAGGGAGTGCCCTCCCAACGTTTAAGTAATTAGAGAAATATAAATAGGGAAAATCACATCCATCTCCCAGTTAGATAACCTCCTTCAGAGGGACACTTGAAGAACTCGTGCTGATCTGCAAGTCCTCATGAAGGAAGACCTGCCGTTTGTCCTCAGATCCTGGTTCAGATCTCTGCTCCATTGCTGACAGAGTTACAGCCATCTGTAAAATCCAAAGGAATTACATTACCTGCCCTTGGAATAGCTAGAATTAAATGAAATAAAGGGTGTGAAAGTTTCTAATGCACTGCCTGAAGCTTCATGTACAAAAACGCACATTGCCTGATCTCCCTCCCTTCCTTCCTCCCTACATCCCTTTCTTCCCATGAGATGACTTTGGTGCTTTGCCTGACGCTTGTACGTGTAGTGCCTGTGAGCACAGGGTTCCATTTAGTGTGCACAGGCAGGAGAACGCTCGTGTGTCTCTTTGGCGTACAGTACCCCAACCTTTAAATGCACTGTCAGGTTATACATAAATGTTTAGCTGGCTGTTCTACATTACGTTTGTAATCTGTAATCATTGTTTGATTCTAACCTCCATAATCTCCCCAAACATTAGAAAAAGTTAGAGTTAAATATAAGTATTTTTCTTACTCTTTAGTGAAATGTGCCCTTTAGGAAATTACTTGTGTCTTCCAGATACAGTAATTAAAATTTAAAATTAGAAAAATATTTTTATAACATACCTGGAATAGGTGTGTTTTAAAAATAGCTTTTTAGTAGGTAATCTACAGGATGGGGCAAAAGCAGGTTCACAATGGTGAAGATGTGAAACAGTTTGTTCTTATTATTAATTGTATTATTTTCCATATGAACAACTGTAAACCTATTTTTGCCCTACTTTGTATAATTTTTTATACCTCATTCTACCCACTTTGTGGAACTAAATGATTTTGTCTGTGTATGCTTTATCTGTGTCCTCGATAATATATGGACCTGTGCCCAATTTATGATGATTCAGTGTAAACCCATTTGTTAACGTCTTACGCGTAGCACATGATATATGTTGACACATAATTAGTAGGTACTAATTTTAATATAGATATTTGTTATTCACTGATTTCAATATTTGCTTGCATTTACTGAATTTAATCAGTATTTATTGAACTTAATCTTTTATTTAATATTATCTTAGTAACCATTTGATAAAGTCATAGGCATGTAAATTAAAAAATTGGCTGGTTTCTGAGGTGGAATGCCAGTGTTTGAACACTGGTGTGTGACAGCGGGTAGCTTACTCCCTTAGTGTATTACCTGGTGGTGCTGGAAGCCAGAGGAGCCGTGAGCATGGGTGAAAACCAGGCTCCAGGCAGACTTCTAATAAACCTCAACCGAGGCACCTCTTCTTACGGTTGCCTTGAATCAGTGCTAATTTTATTTTCTTCCTTATACAAAAATATAAACTTTAATCTATGAACCTAAAAAAAAAAAAGCCCCAAACCTCAACCATCAATAAAGTTAGGTTGTGAGAAATATGTTCGAAGTGGATGGTAAATTTATACTGCCCAAACTGGATCCTTTCACCAGGTTATTTTTGTCCCCAGCAGCGTGCTTGTGTAGGTTGGTTGACTTGGAGTACTTTTGAGGCATGGTTTGTGGCCCTTGGAACAAAGGCATCCCCCTCATTGAACCTGGGAAGGTAACTGTTGGCTTATTAAAACAAGGCGCTCTTGCATTGACTAATACTGGTCCGCCTCTCTCACATCTATTCCCCTCCCTAACGATCCAGCTTTTACATAGAGGGGGAAATCATACCTCTGAAACACAGATCTAAATGCCATTCTTCTTTAAGAAAAGCTTTGACAGCATAGACAATGAGCAGAGAGGCAGTCACTTAAAGTCAGACTGCCTAAGTTAGAACACCCATTCTAGGACCTTGTGCTCTCTGCCAACTTCTCAGTTTTTTTTCGTAGCACGGTGTATAAAACAGTGATTATAATATTATCTATACAGTTGTTGAGATGACTAAATGAGATGTGTATTAGAAAGGCTTCCGCACAATGCTTGGGACCTGAAATGCAGTAATTTTCGTTCCCTGCCACTGCTATTGCTACTCCCACTGCCGTCACTGTCA